AATAGTTTGTGGTTGGAGGCGTGAGAGCGACTCATTAGTTTTAAACCTAACAAAATTTCTCTGTTGCTAATCTAATCATTTCTGAAACTGATCCACTAGAATAATTGGTTTCATTACATCTGCAGCGAATCACAAAGACTAATGGTTGCCCATTAAGGGGGAAAACTACTGTATCTTTTTCTTTAAAGGAATATTCTCTGGAAACAACGTAAGGTGTTTTCGATACATTAATCTAAAGTTTTTTGTACCCTATAGGATGTTATGTTAACTTCGTGCGGATGTAATATCAAGAGGTAGGTTAAGGTGGATCTATTCTTTTTTATACCAGCCTAGTCAGAACCGCTTTCTCCATTAATCTAAGTTTGTCCACCCGTCTCTCTTACTAATATTCTCGTCCTCAACATGCAGTCCGCAATTTGTAAAATATTTTGATGAATTTTGGTACATCGAGATGTTTTGGCTTGAGGACGAACAGCGTTGCAAATGATTCATATCGGAGCAGGTTATCGAACACTTCCCATATAATATGCAATAGTTTTCAAATCCTAGGAGAACTAGAACAGAACAGTGCTAGGAAGACATAGAAGCCATAGGAGACCGTATTTGGTATCATTTGCCAGGAATTCTTTATAAAATAAGTATTCTCTGCTTCTCAAGGTTTTCTTAAACAAGTTCTACGTTCTTCTCGTTTTTTTTTGTATTTTTTCTTTTCGCTTTGCTAGATAACTGTTGATTCGAATTTTCTCTTTTAACAGAGAGATAATAATACGTTCCGTGAATTGTTTGTAATTACCTGGAATTACAACAGTAATGACGATGCTGCTATTATTTATGTACATACTAATTTCATTAGATGTTTCAACTAACAATAGAAATTTTCCCATAAATATTATTTTTCTATTCTTTTATCTGAATGAACTTCAATTAAATCAAAGAATCCAATATTCTTGTTATATGAAAAAAAAGTAAAATAAAAGCAAGAGAGGGAGCTAAAGGTTTTCCAATCAAAAAACTCGATCATGATTTTTGCATTTGGGCTTATAGTCCTCGAGTAGTGCGTCTACGGTAGTGGATAGTTTATGTATTTTTGTTATCATCGAGTGAAAAATTTCTCGACCATGCAATTGTTGTTGGACGGAGTATTGAAAAGGAAAACTGCGAAATCTATTTAATGACAGCATTAGGAAAACTTTGGCACGAGAGAGAATAATTGTTTTCGAGACTTTCATCTATTGGTGCGAATAGATTAAAAGGGTTTTATCAAAAACGAATTAACCAAAAAGTGTTGAGAAAAATTTGAAAAAATTTCGAAAAAAAGTATGAGAAGAATTGAAGAATTGAACATAACTTTAGAAAATAGTTAAATTGAGAATAATAGGAATTGTGGCTTTGTTTATTTATTTATATACTTTCTTCTTCATCTTCTATGGATTTTCTTGCATGAAATATTGTTATTGAACGCACTACTGATAGGAGAAATATTCCGTCGTTTACACTTCGGGAGAGGCAATTCTCGATTCGTCAGCGATCGAGCGGTATAAACTCACAAAATGCTACTTTCGAATGCGTGTGGAATCGATAGCGTACTCAATTATATATATGAAATATAAAATATCGTGAAGTTTAATCAGGGCTCAGGGTTCATTCATTTATTTTACTTAAAGAATGATAGCGAGATGGAATGTCTGCTCTCGCCTGGGCTCTTCTAGAAATTTACCTCACCAAGTGATAAAATATCATCAAGTAATATACGCTGATAACAAAAATTTCATCCTTTTGACGACATTGCGCAGAGCCCAACATGGGATTTTCTTCATAGTGAATGAGAAGAAATTTTCATCCTCTGTTAGATCCTTATTCCAGAAAATATTTTATTTCTACTATATTTTTCATCTCCTTCCTCTTGTCGATTGCCCTCTCATCAGCAGAAATCAGAGCGTGCAAGATGCAATATGATGAACAAGTTCTCACTATGAAGCAAGTTCTTTGTGACTTAATTTTTCCTTTACTAGAAGGATTGCATTTGGAGCAACTAACCCTATGGACATCCAGAAATCATCTACCGAACGCAATATCGATAAAATATATTACTTTATTAAAACTATTAGGACTAAAATCTAATGTTCTTTTATAAAATAGAGCCGGCAGCGTCTGTTGCTAGTGCTCGTGTTTTTTTAATTCAATTCCAAACGATACGTTGTATCCAATCGATATATAATTTGACTCTGGTGTAAACAGTAGGCTTATTGCCACAATCTGTGTAACCGAACGACTTAATGCCCACTAAGATGAATTGACAAGGAAACTCGGGATGCCTAACAAAAAGTGGACTACCGTCATGAACGTCACAAGCACCGATCACGCACATTTTTGTACGATTGTTAAGACCTTCTTCGTGACGATCACGCCAGAATATTTCAAAACATTTGTCATAATCGAGACGATTCAAGTTCATTTTATGTAAATGGGATGAAAATGGCCAGTCAACAGACACAAATTGTTGAAAATCATTATCATCTGCTAGAGATAGACAGGCAGGACGTACGTAATCGTTAAAGATGGCTTCTTTTGCCAATTCAATCAAAGCAATATCATGGTAGACAAGTAGTTCAGTAGCGGAATATCGATGATGAGGTATAATATTTTTGATTTCAATATCTTGCGTCAAAGCATCATCGGTACCAGTGCCATAATCCAATTCACCTAAACGCACCAAGTTCGGATTTCTTAGGAATGAAAAGAAAGCAGTTTGTTAGGCAAAAAAGTTCATTACATCTGTTGTACGTATCGTAAACTCACTCGCCGTAGACAAAACAGTCAGCGGATGTTAACACATACATTTTGCTTATCAAAGTGCCAACACAAAATTTAATATACTTGCGTCCAACTTTACGGTATATCATCGCCACGAAAGGAAACTCTTTAGGTTCTGCCCTTACGCGACCAACTATATTAGATTCGTAATGACATCCTTCTCGAAGTGGTTTCTCTAGACTTGGTAGACTGTCGTACGACTTGCACTCTAAGGACAACGCAAAAGACTATAAATACATCTCATAAGTGGAGAAGAAGTGTTTTCTAAAATGCACACGAGGTCGTTGCAAGCAAAACATACTATGTAAGCTTGTATATATTATGACATCATTTTAACGTAACACGTAGCATAAATAGCAGAGAAAAGTGAATGGCAAAGGCAGCCAAGATACCTTTCAAAATAATCGTTATCAAAATCTCAGGGATCTTTGAGTTTTCTGTTATCAGTAACAGTGGTAGAAGTGCTGTTAATTAGCAGCCACTTAAGTGGTTGCTCTTTCAAGTCCCCCATGAATTTCGTTTTCAATTAACAAAAAAAGAAATAAAAATATATTTTCCTAGATTTAGTGTTGATTTAGTAATCGGAACATTTGTACGCAGACGGATTGCGTTACTGATGCTCGTGAAAGATGTCTACGAGAGATTTTTTCAGCTAATTTTCTCCTCTCGCTTGCTTCGAGAAATATTAGAGAGCGTCGAGTAGCAAATAAATTACTATACCTCTTGCAACAGGTAAACCATCATATTTCGGTTGCGTATAATTTTGCGATGATTTCCTGCAGCATACATTTGCACCATGACCTTTCAAATTGCAATAGGGTTTCCTTTTGATTAAATTGAAATTGTCTCGGATGAAGGGACAATCGGCTATGGGTATGCATTCACTGTTAAGAGCACATTCATTGGCTTTGGGATAAAACAACAACAACAACAATATTACATAATTCATTTCTCTTTCCTGTTTCGCATACGTACCACGTACCACGATCGCAACAGCTATTACCCACAGCAGGCATGGACAAAAGATTAATTTCATTGCCCACCCGATCATTGAAAATTATTAATTTTTTGTTTTCTACTTGCCAAAACCCGTTTTATAATTAGAATTAATTAATCCGGTTGAGAGCTAAAACTATCTGATTGATTAAAACAATTGTTTATGTCGCATTTCCTATCCCCTGATTTAAGCTTGCTTCCAACTTTACATGTTCTATCTCTTAAACATCTTATGATTGCAAGTGCGAGAGTAATTGATTAGTTTTAAACCCAACAAAATTTCTCTGCTGTTTATTCAATCATTTGAAATTATCGATGATTTCTTTTCCACCCATCTTGTATTAAGCATGTGGTAGGTAACCCGAGGGAGAATTGAAACTGATTGACAAAAACAATCGTTTATGTTTTGGCTGGAGGGCTTGCTCGTCGAGGTGAGGACAGGAGAGGCTCTTATTAAGAGCAAAGATCCATCTTTTCCATATCTGTACCCACACATTGTGGATCACTTTTGGATTGATGTAAACATGTCTAACAGACGGTTGGTATTGCTGTGTTCAGCATAGGTTACATAGGTTACAACTTTTAAGATATTTTGATGAAATCAACAATCCAGCACATAATATTTCGGGCTTTCAATCAAAATGCCAACAATTAGATCTTCCCTTCAATTTTGACATATATACAATTTTATATATGGGAGAACAGTCTAGGGAACTTAAAGCAAGCAGGAATACCTCTAGTGAAAAGTAGTCTTTTCCCTTAAGTCACCCTCAAGTTTTATGAAAATTTTAACAGTGAGTAAAAAGGCACAAACTTTCCAGAATCACTTCTTGAGGAGATGTACGGGCCTCCTGTCCTTCACTTCCCTTTACATCATTTATGTACTACCCGATGAGCTCCCTTCATGTCTGAGATCAGTCTTATTTGATAGCAACGGATAATTGATATTAGATATCTTTTACGTCCTATTCACATATTTACAACAAACTTCATTTAGTCTTCGACAATATTACAAATAGAAGAAAATAGAATTACTGGTAAGTCATTAATTATTGAGCTTCGCATATTGTAATTCTTCCTTCTTTATTCAAAATGATCCGGAAGAAACTCAACGGAGGATGGAGAAATGCTCTTTTCTTCCACTAGCATATTAATGTTAACTCTCCTAAGTTTCAATAACTTTTCTGAATATCATCTCTATTACGATCTGTTTCAAAATCAAACGATATACAGTCAAAGCCAAACTAAGCACACCGCAAGCTCCTTTGTATTAAGAACTCGCCAAAGATACAGAGGCAAATTGCAAAGTAAAACAAGGCAAATTTATGGATAAATTGTTTTATATTTATATAATTGTGTCCCTTTACAAAAATACATTTCAATGTGCACGTGCAAGTAAATTACGTCTAAGTAAATTATTATTTTTTTTCCTAATTCAACCCCAAACGGTGCGTTGTATCCAATCGATATACAAATTGATTCTGGTGTAAACAGTTGGATTGTCTTTATTTCCACAAACAGTGTGACCGAATGACACAATGCCTATTACGAGAAATTGACAGGGAAACTCCGGATGGCTAACAAAAAGTGGGCCACCACCGTCTCCACCACAAGTGCTAATATTGCTAGTCGAAGGGATCATACACATATTTGCACGATTGTTAATACCTTTTCCCGAGCGACCGCCCTGGATTATTTCAGCACATTTATCGAAATCGAGGCGATTCAATTTCATTTTATTTAAATGGGATGACGGTTCTAGGGGAGGATAACCCCAACCGGCACCCAAAAATTCTTGATAGTCATTACCATCTGCTAGCGACAGACAAGCAGGACGTACGTAATCGTTAAAGACGGCCTCTTTTGCCAATTCAACCAAAGCAACATTATGATGGACAGCTAATTCACTAACGTGATATTTGTGATGAGTTATCACATTTTTGATTTCAATATCTTGCGGCAAAGCATCATTCGTATTAGTAAGATAATCCAATTCACCTAAACGCACCCAGGTAATGGGGATACTTAGGAAAAAGAAGAAAGAATTTTCTTGTAGACAAACATTCAATAAATCTATCGTACGATGAACTTACTTAGTAGCAAAGAAACAATGAGCGGTTGTTAAGACATACTTTTTGCTAATCAGCGTACCAGTGCAAAGTTTAGCAACAAAGTTTCCCCTTTTGGCGTGTATTAGTGCTATGAAAGGGAGCTCTTTAGGTTCCGCTTTTACGCGACCAACCGTGTTAGATGTACAATTACATCCTTCTCCTAGTCGATTTTGTAGACTTGTTAGATTGTTGTAAGATCTGCATTCTAAGAAAAACGCAAGAGATTATAAATGCGTGTTAAAAATGCAGCAGAAATGTTTCGTAAACAATGCATGGCATCGTTGCAATCAAAACATGCTATGTAAGCATAAATATTTTATGAAATAATTCTAATCTAACGGATTTTACGTGCAGCAATGATAGTAGTGCTGTTAGTCATTTAACTGCTCGTACACTCATACATGTAGCTTAAGAAGTTCTACTTGGTTTTCAATTCTCTTTTAAACGGCTGAACAGAGATACATGCATTGTGGTGCTCATGAAGAGTTAACCTTCTTATCCATATTTAAGAATGCCGATAAACAAATTAATTACCTCTTACAGCAGGCAAATCAACATTTTTCGACTGCTTGTAACTTTGTGATGATTTTCTACAGCAGACGTGTGCACCGGGACGATCCAAATTGCAGTACGGTTTCCTTTTGATTAAATTGAAATTATCTCGGAGAAGGGGGCAATCGGCTATTGGTACGCATTCACTGTTAAGACCGCATTCATTAGCTGTGTGTGAAAACACCAACAATACAAACAACATTATATTATATAACTTATTTTATATATTGAAGAACAAATAATAAAAA